CCCTCTAAAAACAAATGAAAACACATCCTCAGGTGAAGATTAAAAAAAAAACCGGAGCCCAGATGAAACTGGAGAGCAGTTTCTTAGTTTGCAGCCTTCGCCGTTAGGTTTCCTTCCTATTTTACTTTAGTGTTTCCAAAAACGTGATGTCAGATTACTTTTAATGCTTACGTGTGTATTTTGATGCATATTAAAGGGGGGCAGAGGAAAAAGAAGGCAGAGAGGGAATCAGCGTGGCTCAGCTGGTGACATCGGCCTGGGATCCAGGAGATTGGGGTTCGATTCCCGGTCGGGGCACATGCCCAGGGTGCGGGCTCGATCCCCAGTGGGGATGTTTCTCTGTCTCCCTCTCCCTTCTTCTCTCTGAAATCAGTAAAGACTTTTTTTTTTAATTTTTTTTAAAAACTCAAGAAGAGAAAAACGCGTAATTGAAAAGTAATTATGTAGTGCTTAGAATAACACTATATTGTAAAAGCTTTAATTAAACTGATAGAAAGGCAAAGCATCTCTAACGTAATGTGGGTAACAGACAGACGTGACAAGGACCGTGAATGGACGGAGTTAGAGTAACAGGGCGGGTCCGTCCCGCAGAGGCCACGCTTGGCGCCCGTAATGAACACCCCGCAGGGACCTAAAGCCATAATGACCTTTCTCCTTCGCCGTGTGCCCCCCGGGGTCTGCTGGCGCCCTGCTGCCCTCTGAAGCCGGGACGGGGGGGGGCAGCCGGCTCGGGAACGTGGGAATTGCAGGGAGTGGGTGCTGCACAGCCGTGGCCGCTAACGCCTTGGCCGAGGAGTGGAACACGAGCCCCGCGCTTCCCCCGTTTCATTGGTCCGAACAAGTCCCGGGCTGTGCCCAGTTCAGCCAGCGGGGAGAGACAGTGTTGCCACGAGCTCACGTGGACCGGCATTGACTGTTCACCGCTTCACATCCTTACAAGCTGATTAACTGACCTTTGGGAAATGGTGTATCGATCGGGGGAAATCTATTTGACCAGTGGATTTCATCGATTGTTCTACCACTTGACCTACCTCAAGGCGTGTCCCTCTCCGCCGTCTCTCCTAGCTTGTCGCTCGTTCTACTTGATTTGATTAATAGGGTTCAGATAGCACCCCATCATTTCTTTGGCACTAAAGATACATTTCTGCCCAGGAAGGTGCCCGTCGTGACTCAAGTCCTGCTGTTTTTCTGCTGTTCCTTCAGCTCCACCAGGCGCAACCCAACAACCAGTGTTAACCCTTCCTGCTCCCCGAGGGCTGTGTTCCCCGGCTCCGCCCACCCCCTCCCGCCATTCAGAATGGGCCGAGCGGCTCCATCGATTCTGGCCGTGTGCGTCCGGAGGCTGGCAGATGCCACAGAACGGGGCACAATGGGGTTCCTGTCCTCTCGTTTTTTAAGAGCAACTAGAAGCCTGCACTGTTATTTGAACTATCTTAATTTTTAAATGCCAACAATGAATTTCTTTATGTTCATGTTAGTACAGTGTGGACCACACATCCATGGACCAGGTACACTCCATGGGCCCCTGGTTTTTAACTTCTGAGAAAGGCAAGCTCAAGCACACATCTCGTAATTTCTGAAAAGGATGAAAAGTGGGAAAGATTTTACTGTTATTTCCTCAGTAGCAAAGAAGAAATTCTGCCACTTTCCTCTTTTTTCCCCTCTGAAAATGGAGACACCTAGTGAAGCAGACAGGTGGGCAGAAGCCATCGAACACAGTACTCATGCCTGAAAAAATCACGATTCCTATTTTAGGAGGAAACTGAAATTGTTAGGCCAACACAAGGGACGAGATTCTTTCACCGCGCCCAGTGCTAGTTATAGTTTCTAGTTTACTGACCTGTCTTCCTCAATTCTCTTTGAAATGTGGAATTGTAAGAATCAAAAGGCAAATCTTTAATATTTGAATAAAAAAATTTTAATCCCTTAAATGCAAAATACTGGTATCAACAAAGTTTTGGTGAAATAATACTTTATGACCCCTAGAGTCTATATTTTGAAAGATTTTGCCAAAGGCTACTTCTTAACTGATACTTAATTTCAATTTTAACTCACCAACTGCTTTCAAATGAATCCAGGACAAAAATGTAAGAAACAACGTTAACATAGTTAAAAAGTCTTTATCTTTTTATATCATATGGGGATATTACATTTATCTTGGTGTCTATAGATTCAGAAATACTGGCTTAATCTTAACATGTGAACTATTTTAAAAAATATTTTTATGTTTGGTTTTTCCAGCCTTTAGAAGGGGAAACCATGTTCACACAGGCCTTACCTATATTAAACCAGGATCTAAATGAACCTAGATGCAAAAACCCTCAATAAAATAGTAGCAAATGGAATCCAAAAAAGTGTGGAGAAAACCATACACCACGACCAAGTGGGCTCTTCCCAGGTGTGCCAGGAGCAGGAAGGCTCAGGAAGGAGCCCCAAGGTCCCACAAAATAGGTCTGAGAAGGCCCTGGATCTGGGAGCCTCGAGCGGAGCACTCCAGGCCACTGGGGACCAGTTTTGAAGACACACAAAGGGTTTTTTTTTGGGGGGGGGTAAATATATTTTTTTATT